AAATGAAATCAGATTAAAATGAAATGGGGTCCCCTTTTTATCACGGGTTTAATCCGATCTGGATCGACGAGTTTCGAATCGGATAATTCCGATCCAAATTCTGATGCCGATCGGATTATTATTGATCCGAATCATATTATAATTTGCGCACCCCTATTGGACATGGATCACATGATGGACTACGTTTTAACCGTTCCCTTTATTTTGCCGGTTGATCAAAAATTTGTGCATCCCTATTGGATGTTTATGTTGGTCAGAGATCTTTAGATAAGAATGATTCTTAAATTTATCTCATACGTCTTTGGTTGGAGGCCCATCCGCATTGGAAAATTCTGGAAGTTGCCTAAATAGAAGCGGCTATAAAGCAAAAACTCTAAACACAACTCTAACGAACGCTTCATATTTTCAGAGTCCGCCGATCCAAGACAAAACTTAGGCCATTTGTCACCACTATTGCTATCGCTGTTTTTTTATCATCGAGAACTCTTGTAAGTCATAACGGACTGCTGATCAACTTTACGATTCGATATGGTATGTTTATATTCTGAATATCGAATTTTTATTGCTCAACTATGACTTATTTTTGTTATGTCATAAAGATATTAAGGAATCAAAAGGGTTGGAATAATTCTTTGGAAGGTTAAACGGAAAATGAAAGAGATTGCTAAAGTGTAGAATTTTCACAAAACCAACCAAAAAAATCTATACAATAGTGATAAAAACAGCTGATGAATCGCATGTTTAATGTATTTCAATTTGTGGCTTTTATTCACAAGATCATTGTTTCTTGGATTTATTATTATCATTATTATTAAAAATAATTGCGCTAAATATGTTGTACTGCTTATATATAACATGTAATTCGTTATTTTTCCCATTATTATTTTTATTATCATTAATGTTATCATATTATTGTGATTATTATAAAAAATAAAATTTTTTTATGTTTTGCTGCTTATTTTCCGCCACTCAATTCTCATCATCCAAGTTTCCTTAAATTCTTTGCTGCAAACTTCTTTACCTCCCCATTCACCTCCACCCTAACAGTCTTATTATTATTACACATACCAACAACCTTTCCGCTCATATTACAAACTTGCTCTAACTTCCGTTTTCTCGTTTTCTGGTTGGTATCGTGATCAGAGGCAATTGCGACCTTATCCCCTGGTTCAAAGGCTAATTTCCTTCGATGAACACTTCCACGAACTACCAGTTTATTCCGATAAATTTCATCATTTTTTGCAATCTCTCTTCTTACCCTTTCTACCTGCACCACGTGAGCTTCATAGGTGGCAACCTGATCTTCCTGTATTGCTTCCTTGATTGTTTCGTTCAGTGTATCATTCTTTTCTTGTGCTTCGATTAAATTGCCTAGTGTATTGTCTTCCTCTCGTGTTTCGATTGAATTGCCCGGTATATGGTCTTCCTCTCGTGTTTCTATTGAATTGCCCGGTGTATGGTCTTCCTCTCGTGCTTCGATTGATGTTTTATTGACTTGTTTCATTTCATCTGGTGTATCATAGGCACCTCGCATCTTAAATCCAAAAAATGCTTCGTAAGGTGACTTTTTATGGGCATCGTGGGGTGCCTTATTATAGGCAATTACAAATGAGGGAAGGACATCGATCCATCGATAACCCTGGACTTCGAAGACTTCATCCCACAGCATTTTCGTTAAATGTCGACCAAGTGTTTGATTAAATCTCTCGATCTTTCCTTGACTTTGCGGATGACGGGCACGACCATGAATAAGTTGTATTTTAAACGACTCACAAGTAGACTTCAAAAGGCTGGTTATAAACTCGGATCCATTATCCGTTTGAAGTTTGGCGGGTGGACCGAAGCTCATAAAAATCTTCACGAATTCTCTGTGAATAGTACTACCTTCTTTGTTTTGGAGGGGAATGGTCCAAACAAAACGTGAAAATACATCGATTATTGTGAGAATGTAACTATATCCATCATTATGTTCTGCAAAGGCGAGGAGATCAACCAAATCAGCCTGAATGTGTTCGAGGGGGCCATTAGATACGACGGGTGTTATGTCTGCTTTTTCCTTGATGCTCGTGTTTCGGATGCAGGTTGAACAATTTCTTACGTATTTTTTGACTTCATCTTGAGTAACGCCAATGTGATGCTCGTAAAGCATCTTATAGGTTTTGTGATAATCGAAGTGGGCGGTACCAACGTGAAACTTTTCAATTAGTGTGTCTCTCAACTCCATGTCATAGACTGGAATAATTCTTTTCATAAGGGGTTGTGAATTTTCATCTTTCGGTGGTTGAACATAGAAGAGATAACCGTTCTGGCGATTATATGCAAAATTTTTGCACCTTCTTTGGAAATTTGATTTTTTCGTTGGGGTATCGTACTTTGCTGAATAAACGCCAAACTTGACGTAGTTGACGACATCATTAAAATCCTCGGGTGTGTCAGGGATTTTTGGAAGCTTTACCATTTTAAGAGGGAGGGAGGGAAATTAAAATAGAAATAGAAATTCAGAGTGGGAGAAAATAAAAAAACAAAATAATCGAAAACGCGTAACGTAATGTAAAGAACAAAATAATCGAGAACGCGTAATGTTTGTTTTTCCGGCACGTGCGCGATGTAATGAATTGGACGTATATATAAAGATACGCTCCTGTTCTCATATTTTTTTGTTTTTTTGACCAAAACTTCCAAAACACCAGAAAGCAATACGGACGCGACGGTGAGAAGCAAAAAATTAAAAAAGGATATAATAAATTAAATTAGAAAAAAATATTAAAGAAATTTTTTTATTCTCCTGAGCTACAGCAACCAACGGCAGGAAACATAATAAACCGACAAGTTCAAACCGCGAGAAGTACGGCAAACCAATGGCAAGAAACACAGCAAACCGGCGACAAGTTCAACCAAGAGAAGTACAGCAAATGGTAAGAAACACAGCAAATGGTAAGAAACACAGCAAACCGGCGACAAGTTCAACCAAGAGAAGTACAGCAAACAGCAAGAACCAGCGACAAATTCAACCTTCGACCAGGGTGATAAATTCAACAGCAACACAGTGATGACTTAACCATGAGAAGCGTAGGGAACGGCAAGAATCACAGCAAACCGATGAGAAGCGTAGGGCAAGAATCACAGAAAACTGGTGAGAAGCGTAGGAATCAACGGCAAGAATCACAGCAAACCGACAACAAATTCAAACATGAGAAGCATGGCAAAAACAACAGCACAGCAGCATGTAATATAACAATTGTGTAACAATGTATAATGTGTAACAATGTATAATTGTATAATGTAACAATGTAATAGTGAGTGCGCTAATAAAAAAAATGACCTATTATAATCACATGATCGACTTAAGAAATGGACCCCATTTCATTTTAATCTGATTTCATTTTAATCTGCCACA